ACTGGAATCGTTAGCCTTTGTATTCAATACTATCACCTATGAAGACAGTCGCAGGCATCGAATGTAAAGTCGCTCAGAAATAAAAGACGATCACATACGATCAAAGTAGGCAAGTAAATATGATTTTAAAATATAAAATTCATTACAAATTTTACTGTGTAGTATATTCTATAATGATATATTTACTATACACTAATACACGTCTGGGCCGCCTGTGGTGTAACCTAAATAATTATAGGACCAGTATTCAAATTTATTGTTATTTACTTCAACTTCAATAGTATGAACTGCATATACGTGATGAATTATGGCAATAACGATTATAGGAACTGAGGAGGGGTGAATTTGTTAATTGGAAACGATAAGTCGAGAGATAAAGGAGAGAAAAGGAAAGGCAACCCTGTCCCAATTCTCAGACAGTCGTTTATTTCATAGGACCTAGCTTGGACTGTTTGGATCTTGCCTTGCCCAAGCGAGGCTTGATCGCGCCCACATCAGGTGGCTACCAGGGCGCTTGTGGCATGCAGTGAGTGCAATCTCGAAAACGTTTAAAAAAGCTTTAATCGGTGCGACTAATTCGAGGCAGGATGTATTCATATTTGGCAATGGTATGTCAGCCTACACAGTTGATATCAATAACCAATATTTAATGATCGAACTATAGCTACAACAGAGTATTATATACTCAGGTAGCTAAAGACAATATTTAGTATAAGAGGTATACTTACTCTAAGACAATGCAGCAATGGATGTTTAGTACACTCTTCCGTGAGATGTTCGTGTGGGAACTCTTTTGACAATTTGTCTTCGCCACAGAGATGGCAAATCATGACTGTAGACTCAATCCAGTTAAATAGAGTTAATTAAAATTATAAACGTAGAAGAAAAGACAGAATTCCGCAGGACACCCAATTCTTGATGTTTCGTTTTGTGCTTCCCAGAATTTCTTTTGATACCAGGAAATCAAGTGTTCCTATTTAAATCTTACTAGTAAATATTAATATTTACATGTAATTTTTGCAACTTTCATTTTCACATATTTATCTGTAAAAAATATTTAATCGAAAAACTTTATTCCACCAACAAATTTACTTGTTCAACTAACCCACTGTCTGGCTGTACCCACGAGAATACGGCCGAAAGTTTTACTAAAATTTAAATTATAAACAATTAAACAATGTAAGACACGTGATTTCCTGGTAAATTTACAGGTAGTTCTGGGAATTAAAATCGAAAGTTATAATAAAAGGGCGTCATGCAGAGCCTCTTTCACAAATCACAATACCGGCCTCTTGTGACACAGTGGAGTATTATGAGTGGAGCTGTAGAGGCAGAGCTATTTGGCGTTTCCGGCTAAACGTTCAAGCTGGACTTTCTTTTGCAAGATTATACATCAAAGGCTTATTTTAACATAAGGTATTTAACTTTTACACTATGTTTATAGTATGTACTCGAATTGCCTTCATTGCTGCAGTTTGTGAGAAGTAGTTTTGATTTGATGCTGCCATAGCAGCATAGCTGAGCTGTGTTCAAACCTGTACTGGCTGTAGCGACAGGTTTTCACTGTTTCAGTTTGAAATCTGTGTTTGATACAGCAAGGTTTATATGTTTATTATATTATAAAAGCAATGTACAAAGCCGTACTAGGAACATTTTTAGATTAAAAGTTGTTTTGTTGCTTTAAAATATACGAGTCCGTGCAGTTTGCCAATTTGGTTTCGTTTTCGCTTTGTTAAGGGAATGTTGATCGGGTATATTGATGTTCAACATTGTCATAGATATTGACATACAATATCATAAATTTTCATAGTCTTTGCTTTATTAATTATATAAGCACTGTAAGCCGTACTAAGTGTACTAGGAACAGTTTCGTTTTCGCTTTGTTGAAGCGCGGATGTTGATTGATATTGATGTTCAAAATCAATATCAACATAACATACAACTTGTAAAAGCTGTATATATCGATAAATACGTATTCCAAATGAACCGGGCCATTCCTCCTGTATCACTGTACTAATATAAACTATTAAAAGTAATTTTGAGATTTGCATTAGACTTGCTCCAAGTCTGCCTCTTGGATGTTCCTAATTAAAGTAACTTGAGTTTTACTTTAGTTTTATAAAAGTAACTTGAGTTTTACTTGAAGTTTTATTAGTAGCAGGCGAGCCGAAAAGGAGCGAAAAAAAGCGGGCGGCGCGGGAAAGGAG